ATACGATTAAAACATATACGATTAGTCTTCCACATAAACATAATACTTTAATAGCTTATTATGGAGATTAATTAGAGGTAAAAATCCTAAAATACAAATATCAAAGATCATCATAGACTTCGACTTATAAATTATCCAAGTTGATCGATGATTTCGCGTAGAATTTTGAGTGTTCAAGTTTGTGTTTATATAATTTATTAGTTATTTTTATTGCTGAGCAATTGATATTGAGATTGGCTACTAATGAAATTTAGATCATTATACGAAAATTATTTAGTCTTAAGTATTATAAAAAACAATTAATTATCGGTCTATAATCTCTCTGCTTTCTATCGCTGTGATTTTTTATCTTTAGATAAATTAGATGGAATTAATATTTCTTAAAAAGTACATATGTTTATTTGCAATTATAAGGATTATCAAGTACGCGGATCAGTTAAATGCTAATTGATAAGAAATGACTGTGTTCCGAATGATAGTAATATTATGACGTGAAGCGATACATACTCTTGTCTTATTGTTCGAGTGTTATGCAATACGAATGATAATTAGTGTGGCTTACTATATGGTAATAATTGCGCGCGCGGTAATCTTTATGTATATTCGCGACGGTTTAATAATTTTTATGTAACAACATGCTTATTTTAATTATTTTAAATTGTATTTTTAACATATTTTCATAATATTTTTAATACATCATAAAATATATTTCTCCAAATATTCTTGCGTTTTACATTAATTTTGATAAACTATTATTGAATGTTAAATTTAACCGTTTTGAACGTTAAATCTAAACATTCTTCGTTGTAAAGAACAAAATTCGTTATTATGATAATAAAAAAAAGTATTATTCTTTAAATTTAGATTTATAATAATTTAATATATTTGATTTAATACATTTTTTTAAGTGGCACAATTAATCATTCGAATTCATCATAGAGAAAAACTTTGAATCATTAAAAAAAAAGTTAAATTACATATTTGCGTATAATAGTAAAATTTGTTATAGTTATATTAACATCAGATGTTAAATGATTAAATGTATTACATGTAAGAAAAATAAGATCAGTTCTAAAATATGATATTAATGTACATTATTTATGAAAAATAATAGCAGATAGATGAATATATGTGTAAACGTAATCATGAACCTAAATGCACAAATTTTACGCGATATCAATTTTAATTAATTTTAATTATAAATAAAAAATATAGACTTAATATTTTTAAATTAAAATTTTTTAATCTAATTAATTTCCAAAATAATTAAAGTACTTTTCAATGGTTGAATATTCTACATATGCTCTATTTATATAATAGAATATGTGCAGATTTGTTGTATTTACAAATAAGATATAGTACTTTTTGTTTTTTTTTAAACCATTTCTCTCTATATTAATTTCTTCGTTATTAATCTTCCTTTCATTTATTTAGATTAAATATTTTCTTAAGGTGATTTTTTAGGAAAGTACTGAAAAATTGGGATACCTCACCAGGGTTCACCCAAAATCACAAATATCTGCATAATTTGAATAAAATGTTAAAATTACGTGTATATCTTAATGAAGGATGAAATGTACGATAGCAAATCAAGAGCTGCTATCTTTCTCAAACAAACCAAGGTGAAGTTATATTTATTTTTCAAGATTAAATTTGCAAGTTTATGCATGTAAATATCTTTCCAGAATGGCCTATTGTTTTTACTTTTTTGTGATTATTACAGTCGTAATTTTTTAAACTATTATACTCTCGTTTTTTTGAGAAACCTATGATAATATTTTTGTGCAGTTAGTCTCCGATCCTTACCTATCACTAAGTTATATTTTCAACTTTTTTTTCTCTATCGTTTCATCGTTAACCTACCTTAAAATTTTGCACACATATGTTCGGTATTTCAACCTTATTATATACATAAATTAAACATTTCGATGGTAACTCGAGTTACTAAAAAATCACCTTAAATACAAAAGTCAGTCTAAAAACACTTAAATAAAATAGCAATTGTCAAAAATATAACAAATATTATAAATATTAATATTACAAATAATATTCATGTTTGCTTTCTGAGACAGTTTATATAATTGAAATAAAAAACAGAAATACGCTTAAACGGCGTAAAATGATGTAAATAAAATATTTCGATGCAAAGATTTTCTTTCCTTTATATAATTCCTTTATATAATTCTATTACTGATTTTTATTCAAAATAATATATCCGTTTAATAGTTATTTACATATGTACATGAATATGTGTATAATATTATAATTTATTTACAAAAAAATTATGTTCTCTTTCCGCCCATTTTACAATAACAATTTAATAATTCACGTCAAAATTCGGAATACAGTTCTATTTATAACTTTATTTGTCGTATACTATAAAAAAACATTCGAAGAACACATATGGGGGGATACATATTGAAATATACATACGTACAAAAATACGACAAATTATTATATGAATTATGTTTATAATGCGTGTATAAAAATATACGATATATTACAAATTACAAATAGAATTGTATTGTGAAACATCACTTATACATTGTTTAAAATGAGCTTTAATTATAACATTTATCCTATTTACATTCTACATTCATGGATTTAAAATCGATGGCACTTTCATTGATAATTGATAATTATACAAAACTCTCTGTTTTTTTTATATTGGTCGCATATTATATTTTAACTATGAATTTCACTCTAATTCATTACCTATGACTCGTTACAATGATCTTCTGTCTTTCTCTCTTTCCGCTCATCGCTCAGTCAAATTTCTCGGACTAAGCGCACAGTGTAAACCATGCCATTGTCGATACAAATCAAATCTTATAACTAATTAATTACATCAGCAATATTGTTGTCATCTCGCCATTTGCTTGAACTTTGCTCTTACCGTTATCACTTCTATATGTACTATTACTAACTGTAAATCTAATTTGTAAGTTCATGCAATGCAATAAAGTTATTATTATAATTATTATGATATTTTGTACTTGTTATTTAACATTTTATTAACCGGAAATCGCTGTCACTTTCAGGGGACGAGAATAACAGAAAATTAAACTTCGTGATATGTCCCGATTGCGGAAGAATTTGCAAAGATGACACTCATCTACTACGCAGAGAATGTAAAAAGGAACGCAATTTTATCTGTTCGACATGTGATAAAGCTTTCAGACGGAAGTATCACTTGCAAAGACACATGTATCTAGTACACGAATTCAACAAACTGGATCAATAATTAATTTTTATTTTGATTTTCAAACTTTATTATAAATAGATTACTGTATTTTTGTTTCATTATGTAAATAAATAAATATTTACTGTATATTTTGTATCTAATGAAACGAAATAAACTACAATTTAAAAATTTGTTTGATCGATACTTACGTTCTTCTTCATAAACATGCAATAAAAATACGTATTATTCATAAACTATTGGATCAATTCTAAGCAGAATCGTAAGACTCGTAACATATCCTTGTAAAAACTTGTAAGAACTTATAATTAATATTCTAATTTTATATGTATATATGTCATAAGATGTACACTGAGAAAGATGATTTTATTATAGGAACAAATCAAGGGAAAACAAATGCGATATTTGTTAAAAAAGTGATCGATTAGTTATTATTGTAAATTAATTATTTCTCATTCATCAAAATAACAAATAATCATATTATCGTTTGCAAATAAGAGGCTTCTATACATATATATAAGTCATAGACGGTCGCAGGATCTCAATCATCATCATAAGAAATTGATTGATTCTAATTAAATATTCTCCTTATATTTGATCAGTTTTCTACGACTTAAGACTCCACGATTTCTATATAAATAAGCCTAAAGTCTATCCAAAAAATAGATTAGATTCTATATAATTTGCTTCTGTTACTAATAATTGATTGGTATAGCAGACTAGCAATCATAACAAACCAAATTTATTGTCACATATTTACCAGTCCCTTTATTGATGGCTTGTTAAATTAACAAAATCCTTTCTCTCAGTATACGATTATTCGTAAATATGATTTCTTGTAAATTTCATGACTATTAAGAAGCTATTTGTAAAAATATTATATAAAAGGTATAAGCATTTAAAAATTCTTACAAGTTTTACAAGAATATATTACAAGGCTTACAATTCTGCTTAAAATTTAGGCATATCTCTGATATTGCAATATACATATATGTTTCATTTAAACGTATGATAAAAGAAAAATTTATAACATAAAAAATATTAGTTTTAATCACAAAATGTTGGCATTAGTATATATATATATATATATATATTGGGAGTTCAAATTAGTTCGGTCCGTT